CAAAAATTACCACCCATGTCGTCAAAAAAGTTGGTTTTTTTTTAACTATATCTCGGTCAAATCTCATCCAATTTTCACGAAGTTTGGCTTTTTCTTCATGGGTTTCCCTCTAGATTAATCTGGCATTCAAATCTGAACGCCGATTTTTTAGTCGAAATGCATGTCCAAATCTTACCCCAAGATTCGTATATAGACATGCGTCAAAAATTACCACCCCCATATATCGGCCAAATCTCATCCGATTTTCACGAAGTTTGGCTTTTTCTTCATGGTTTTCCCTCTAGATTAATGTGGCATTCAAATCTCGACACCGATTTTTTAGTCGAAATGCATGTCCAAATCTTACCCCAAGATTCATATATAGACATGGGTCGAAAATTACCACCCCCATAACTCGGTCAAATCTCATCCGATTTTCACGAAGTTTGGCTTTTTCTTCATGGTTTTCCCTCTAGATTAATCTGGCATTCAAATCTGAACACCGATTTTTTAGTCGAAATTCATGTCCAAATCTTACCCCAAGATTCGTATATAGACATGGGTCAAAAATTACCACCCCCATATCTCGGCCAAATCTCATCCGATTTTCACGAAGTTTGGCTTTTTCTTCATGGTTTTCCCTCTAGATTAATGTGGCATTCAAATCTGAACACCGATTTTTTAGTCGAAATTCATGTCCAAATCTTACCCCAAGATTAGTATATAGACATGCGTCAAAAATTACCACCCCCATATCTCGGCCAAATCTCATCCGATTTTCACGAAGTTTGGCTTTTTCTTCATGGTTTTCCCTCTAGATTAATGTGGCATTCAAATCTCGACACCGATTTTTTAGTCGAAATGCATGTCCAAATCTTACCCCAAGATTCGTATATAGACATGCGTCAAAAATTACCACCCCCATAACTCGGTCAAATCTTCATGGTTTTCCCTCTAGATTAATCTGGCATTCAAATCTGAACACCGATTTTTTAGTCGAAATTCATGTCCAAATCTTACCCCAAGATTCGTATATAGACATGCGTCAAAAATTACCACCCCCATATCTCGGCCAAATCTCATCCGATTTTCACGAAGTTTGGCTTTTTCTTCATGGTTTTCCCTCTAGATTAATGTGGCATTCAAATCTCGACACCGATTTTTTAGTCGAAATGCATGTCCAAATCTTACCCCAGGATTCGTATATAGACATGGGTCGAAAATTACCACCCCCATAACTCGGTCAAATCTTCATGGTTTTCCCTCTAGATTAATCTGGCATTCAAATCTGAACACCGATTTTTTAGTCGAAATTCATGTCCAAATCTTACCCCAAGATTCGTATATAGACATGCGTCAAAAATTACCACCCCCATATCTCGGCCAAATCTCATCCGATTTTCACGAAGTTTGGCTTTTTCTTCATGGTTGTCCCTCTAGATTAATGTGGCATTCAAATCTCGACACCGATTTTTTAGTCGAAATGCATGTCCAAATCTTACCCCAGGATTCGTATATAGACATGGGTCGAAAATTACCACCCCCATAACTCGGTCAAATCTTCATGGTTTTCCCTCTAGATTAATCTGGCATTCAAATCTGAACACCGATTTTTTAGTCGAAATTCATGTCCAAATCTTACCCCAAGATTCGTATATAGACATGCGTCAAAAATTACCACCCCCATATCTCGGCCAAATCTCATCCGATTTTCACGAAGTTTGGCTTTTTCTTCATGGTTGTCCCTCTAGATTAATGTGGCATTCAAATCTCGACACCGATTTTTTAGTCGAAATTCATGTCCAAATCTTACCCCAAGATTCGTACCTAGACATGGGTCAAAAATTACCACCCCCATATCTCGGCCAAATCTCATCCGATTTTCACGAAGTTTGGCTTTTTCTTCATGGTTTTTCCTCTAGATTAATGTGGCATTCAAATCTCGACACCGATTTTTTAGTCGAAATTCATGTCCAAATCTTACCCCAAGATTCGTACCTAGACATGGGTCAAAAATTACCACCCATGTCGTCAAAAAAGTTGGTTTTTTTTTAACTATATCTCGGTCAAATCTCATCCGATTTTCACGAAGTTTGGCTTTTTCTTCATGGTTTTCCCTCTAGATTAATCTGGCATTCAAATCTGAACACCGATTTTTTAGTCGAAATGCATGTCCAAATCTTACCCCAAGATTCGTATATAGACATGCGTCAAAAATTACCACCCCCATATATCGGCCAAATCTCATCCGATTTTCACGAAGTTTGGCTTTTTCTTCATGGTTTTTCCTCTAGATTAATGTGGCATTCAAATCTCGACACCGATTTTTTAGTCGAAATTCATGTCCAAATCTTACCCCAAGATTCGTACCTAGACATGGGTCAAAAATTACCACCCATGTCGTCAAAAAAGTTGGTTTTTTTTTAACTATATCTCGGTCAAATCTCATCCGATTTTCACGAAGTTTGGCTTTTTCTTCATGGTTTTCCCTCTAGATTAATCTGGCATTCAAATCTGAACACCGATTTTTTAGTCGAAATGCATGTCCAAATCTTACCCCAAGATTCGTATATAGACATGCATCAAAAATTCCCACCCCCATATCTCGGCCAAATCTCATCCGATTTTCACGATTTTTGGCTTTTTCTTCATGGTTTTCCCTCTAGATTAATCTGGCATTCAAATCTGAACGCCGATTTTTTAGTCGAAATGCATGTCCAAATCTTACCCCAAGATTCGTATATAGACATGCGTCAAAAATTACCACCCCCATATATCGGCCAAATCTCATCCGATTTTCACGAAGTTTGGCTTTTTCTTCATGGTTTTCCCTCTAGATTAATGTGGCATTCAAATCTCGACACCGATTTTTTAGTCGAAATGCATGTCCAAATCTTACCCCAAGATTCGTATATAGACATGGGTCGAAAATTACCACCCCCATAACTCGGTCAAATCTCATCCGATTTTCACGAAGTTTGGCTTTTTCTTCATGGTTTTCCCTCTAGATTAATCTGGCATTCAAATCTGAACACCGATTTTTTAGTCGAAATGCATGTCCAAATCTTACCCCAAGATTCGTATATAGACATGGGTCAAAAATTACCACCCCCATAACTCGGTCAAATCTCACCCGATTTACACGAAGTTTGGCTTTTTCTTCATATTTTTTCCTCTAGATTAATCTGGCATTCAAATCTGAACACCGATTTTTTAGTCGAAATGCATGTCCAAATCTTACCCCAAGATTCGTATATAGACATGGGTCAAAAATTACCACCCCCATATCTCGGCCAAATTTCATCCGATTTTCACGAAGTTTGGCTTTTTCTTCATGGTTTTCCCTCTAGATTAATGTGGCATTCAAATGTGAACACCGATTTTTTAGTCGAAATTCATGTCCAAATCTTACCCCAAGATTAGTATATAGACATGCGTCAAAAATTACCACCCCCATATCTCGGCCAAATCTCATCCGATTTTCACGAAGTTTGGCTTTTTCTTCATGGTTTTCCCTCTAGATTAATGTGGCATTCAAATCTCGACACCGATTTTTTAGTCGAAATGCATGTCCAAATCTTACCCCAAGATTCGTATATAGACATGCGTCAAAAATTACCACCCCCATATCTCGGCCAAATCTCATCCGATTTTCACGAAGTTTGGCTTTTTCTTCATGGTTTTCCCTCTAGATTAATGTGGCATTCAAATCTCGACACCGATTTTTTAGTCGAAATGCATGTCCAAATCTTACCCCAAGATTCGTATATAGACATGCGTCAAAAATTACCACCCCCATATCTCGGCCAAATCTCATCCGATTTTCACGAAGTTTGGCTTTTTCTTCATGGTTTTCCCTCTAGATTAATGTGGCATTCAAATCTGAACACCGATTTTTAGTCGAAATTCATGTCCAAATCTTACCCCAAGATTAGTATATAGACATGCGTCAAAAATTACCACCCCCATATCTCGGCCAAATCTCATCCGATATTCACGAAGTTTGGCTTTTCTTCATGGTTTTCCCTCTAAATTAATGTGGCATTCAAATCTCGACACCGATTTTTTAGTCGAAATGCATGTCCAAATCTTACCCCAAGATTCGTATATAGACATGCGTCAAAAATTACCACCCCCATATCTCGGCCAAATCTCATCCGATTTTCACGAAGTTTGGCTTTTTCTTCATGGTTTTCCCTCTAGATTAATGTGGCATTCAAATCTCGACACCGATTTTTTAGTCGAAATGCATGTCCAAATCTTACCCCAAGATTCGTATATAGACATGCGTCAAAAATTACCACCCCCATATCTCGGCCAAATCTCATCCGATTTTCACGAAGTTTGGCTTTTTCTTCATGGTTTTCCCTCTAGATTAATGTGGCATTCAAATCTCGACACCGATTTTTTAGTCGAAATGCATGTCCAAATCTTACCCCAAGATTCGTATATAGACATGGGTCGAAAATTACCACCCCCATAACTCGGTCAAATCTCATCCGATTTACACGAAGTTTGGCTTTTCCTTCATGGCTTTCCCTCTAGATTAATCTGGCATTCAAATCTGAACACCGATTTTTTAGTCGAAATTCATGTCCAAGTCTTACCCCAAGGTTCGTATATAGACATGGAACAAAACAATTAACACTTAAGTTCGAACGTTATTTAAACAATTTTTGCCATTCATTTACCTTTTTCTTCATTTTTATTGCTGTTTTCAGTTTGTTTTGTTAATAAAAAGGCTGGGTCCAATCGGAATAAAATGTTAATGTAAATTATCGGTTACTTGCCGATAGACCCTTCGATAAACTGTGGCGGTCGGTCGATAATGCATTAAAGCAGTCCTGAAGCCCTTGATTCAGAATCGTATTTTAGTTTGCCCGCTGCCCAGCACTTACTACACTCAAGCAAAAGCTCCTTGCTACGAATTTGTTCCGCCAATTTTGAACGTGCGGAATTAATTCCTTTCGATATGCACTGCAGACAGTCAAATACTAAAACAAAATTAATTTATGCGACAGTTTCTAGCTACTCTCAGACTGGCTAACATGAAAGGGTTGTATATTGTTCTGTTTTTGTTTCCTTCTCTGGAATGTAGTACCACACGCTGCAGGCGTTCAATAAAGGTAATCTTTTAACCAAAACCTGGTAAAGCATTCTCTATCTAAGTCTCTTCAAGCAGCCACTGGGAATGACTGTGTTGTATGAGTCCCTCTGTCCCGACAGCCAAGAATTCCTTACCAGTTTCTGGCCAGTTTTTCGGTATTACCATAACTGCATTAATCTAACGTTGGTCCCATATGGCAAGGCCAGAGTAAGTTTATGCTGAGCATCAGAATTCGAAATAAATATTACCTCAACAGCCGGCAAGAGGGGGACATGTATGTCAACACGGCCGACCAGAGTGTTGGGGCAATCGGATGCAGAACTGCGCTCTTCACTCCAATTTAAATCAGTTAAAGCAAATGCAATTTATTGCTTGTCAGATGAAAGACCTCCAGCTGGTGAAGAAAAGGAATTTCAAGTGCGCCAAATCCTTGAATATCATCAAAAGCGTAAGGCAGTGCATGAAATCGAACGGCCAAGGTAATAAACTTCAGGCCGATGCCTCGAGAATAACTAGTCAATATCAGTTTAACGAAATACCTGCAATTATCTATAATGGAGTAAGTATTTATCATTGTTCTCTCAGGACTTCCTAAGCATATATTTTTCAAAACCCTTAGGTATTAAATGAAGACCTGCAGGAGGCTTCCAGAAACAATTTACGACAAACTCTGTGCGAAATTATGGTAAAAACTAAACATTTATTACCTGATGATTGTTATACCTATTAGCTGACCGCTAAATTGCAATTTACATCTTCGGTACCCCACATTATGCCAATAAAGAAAAAAAATTTTTTTTGATATTCAAAATTATTTGAAATGAAAGAAATATATATCATATGTATATATAATATATAAATGGGATTCGGCTGTTCGGAGCGGGATATAGGGTATCCCCTATTCGGCTATTTTTAACTTAAGCCTATTTATTCAATTAAAGTTTCATAAGAAATAACTACCAGATGATCAAAATTCCCAGAGCGTGGGTATTACCCGGCTTTACCTGGGCCATCAGTTTTTTAAATCAGTATTCCACCCATTTGCTGCCCTTGGAAAATCTAAATATACTCGTTCTACCTTAGGTTGGTTTTTACCGAAGTCGGTGAATCACTTTTCAAATAATATGTCTCATATATAGAGAGAAAAAGAAAAAGTTGCAATCAACAATTCTCCACCCATTTCTCAACTGTGCGGTTTCAAAACTCAGTAAAAAAAACAATATAGTATAATTACATTTAAAAGCATTTCCAACAATTTTTCACAGTTGAGGATGGAATTTTACAAAACTTGGCCTTATTATTTAAATAATGCAGCTTCATAGTCGGGTTTTATATAGCAGGTATTACCCGGCTTTGCCCGTAAACATTGCCAATGGATCCCACATGCAAAATTTTCGAAACACTTATTTATTAAGTTCTTAAAGCTGATCGGAAGATAAACAAAATAAATGTCATATCCATTTTCGCTTATGTTCCACACTTGCGGGTGGAACTACCCAAAGCCCAATTATCGGGTATATAAAGAACAAAAATGAACCGAAAAAAGCACTCAAAAGAACTAGTTTATCTTAACGCTCCCCAATTGAATTGTTTTGCTGATTTTAAAATGTAACGAATTATATGCCGCACCCGCGCAAATTAAAATTTCAGGCTGAGAAAAGAAATCAAATCAAAAATTGAAAACCCGATCCCGCACCGCTTGCATGGTTACAGTTAACGCAGAGTTGTGAATGTGCGAGCAGAATAGCTTTTATTGGGAGTTTGGGTAAACATACAAAATTAAAAACCGGCTTACATGAGTCGCATCCAACAACGCTCGGCACTGGGTCCAAAAATTAAGCCCAAAAAAGCGACAAAACATTCAGTCGCTGAACTGAAATCGAATTGAACGGTCGCAAAAAACTGGGGCTAGACTTGGCAGCGCGGCGACTGTTCGATTCTGAGTGAGAGTGCATCGAAGGTCGGTTTCCATCGATTGGGCATATTCGTATAAGTGTATTGGAAAACTCGTTCGCCAATAGCCAAGTGTATTCAGGGTGAAAATGTCTAAACTAATCACTGCCTTTTGCATTTTGGCCGTGCTCATCAGCTGCATCCTGGCTGATGAGAGCCCGCGTGAGAAGCGTCAAGCTGCAAAGGTGAATAGCTGCGAAATATATATTTTCGATTTTAAATTGATATATCCCATTATCTGAAGCTGCACATAACGCTGCTGTACGAGTCGCTCTGCCCGGATAGCAAGAACTTTATGCGCCAACTGGGGCCCGTGCACCAAGAGCTGGAGCCATACATTGACATTGAGCTGGTGCCATTTGGAAAATCAGCGGTAATTCCAATGAGATTTGTGTGAGAAGGTGAAATGACTAGTCAGCTAATCTTCCATTGGCAGTCCGAGCAGAGCGGCGCCCTCTTCCACTGCCAGCATGGACCAGCCGAGTGCGAGGGCAACCGTCTGCAGAGCTGCGTCATCAGCAGCACCCAAAATCAGGCGGCGCAGGTGAAATTCGTGGTTTGCCAAATGTTTGCCTCGAATCATGCAAATGCCGACAAGGTGCGTACCCACATTGTTTATCGAAAGCCCAGCATTTGCTTAACCAGTTAGCAACCTTCAATATTTGCCACATTCGCCACATTTAGTGCGCCAGCCAGGCGGGCCTGTTGACGGACGTGGAGTACTGCATGAAAACCCCGACGGGCACCAAGCTCCAGCTGGACGCGGAGCTCATCACCAAGCGCTATCGGCCCAGCTTTGTGCCCACCATTGTCTACAATCGGGTAAGTAAACGCCTTCACAATTGTTAACTGGTTTCACTCCGGATTATGCGCTGGCCCCAACAGGTATTCGATCAGCAGCTGCAGGACCAGTCGCTGCGCAATTTCCGAGCCACCGTTTGCTATTTGTTGCGCCAACAAATCGCGCTGCCTGCCACAGTTTGTCAATAAATGTGTGTGTGTTCATACCATGTATAATTGCCAGATTTGTTGTGCAAATAAAAATTGTGAAGAACCAAGCAACCAACTACTTTTGATACTCCAACCATGTGCAAGCATTCGAGTAAATTGCCCAGTTTAAAAAAAATGTGCAACACGATTTATTTCTGTTGACTTCAATTCCAACAAGTCGCAATGATGCAGTCGTATGTAGCCGACTGCCCAATACTCGTTCAAGGTACAATGAACAGGTTGAAATATCTCAACATTGGCTTACCTCTAAAATTATGTGCCTCTATCTTAAAATCTGTAGGAGATGAAGATTTTGCTTCTTGAATACCTTAGCTTTAATATCTCCCAAGAGATAGAAAATCGAACGGACCGACAGCAAGTCGAGCACTGCAAAAACCCAACAAACTCTTTTCATTTCGTTTGAACGGGTATCAAAATAAAAACATTATTACATGAATGATAAGATCCAACTCGTTCAACAATTAAATTTAATATATACACGTACTCTGAATTTGTCCTATATAAAAATATAAATTCGGTAATACCCTGTGTCAAGGTATTTAACTACCCTAGAGCAATTTTATATTCGCCTGGAGTAAAAAGCTGGCAAATACATATGTATAAGTATATTCCATTGCGTATGCTTGCGTTGTCTTTCAGTTTTATAGTCTCTTTGATTGTATCGTCCGACAGAAAGGTTGATTTTAAGACAGAAATTGCTGACATTGCTGGATTGACTCGACATATACATTTATCTTATATACAGCTGAGATACCTGCGTCTGGTTTGGTCGTTGAGTGTTGGCCAAAATAAGTATAAATTATTTAGAGTCCGCATAAAAATATAATTGGTTTGACTTTGAGATGCCGCAATAATACTATCTAATTAAATTAAGTGAATCAAAATTATTAAAACTTTGTTGAGGCAATTTTGGCAAACGTCCGGGGTTAATGCACAATCTAGAGAATTGTCCAGCGGCGGATGGGGACCTTTTCAGCTGGGGAGTCGGACCCTTAACGCAAAAGGAAAAAAAAGGGTAAATCAAATATGAAGTAAGAGTGAAGATAGACATATATAATGAAGTAAAAATATCTGGGTCTCATTTGAGTTCATGAGAATCGCATAGTACGGCGTTATTACAAATTTTGTATTAACAGAGCATTAAATTACTAGTTGGCATTACAATTTTAAGCATCCTAAGAGCTGGTATCTCACAAGGTAAGATTATTTCATTGCAATCTATTATTATTAATATTATTATTAATAGAAGGCCGACAAGACTTTAATGTACATATCCACAGTCGCAAGGGAGAAATATGGATAGAGCGTGACACAGTTAAAATAAAGCATTTATGAGAATCGCATAGGACGGCGGTTTTAAAAATTCCTATTTTTATTTACAGAGCCAAATTAATTGCTTGTATATCAAAATGTTTTGAAACTCTCCCATAAATTCTAGAGGTCTGCTAAGAAGAACATATACATCGCACATTGTTCGCTACTTTAGTTGCATATATTTCATAATAATAATTTATATAGGTAGGTAAGATACAATTCATGGATTACATATAGTACATGCAGTGCTTAGGGCGCCTAGTTTATTTACAGAGCAAATCAAACAGTATCTTTTCAGGAAGAGTGCAGGGAAGACCGATATGAAGAAACAAATCAATTGTGAATTGGGGGACATATTAAACAAAAAGTTAAAAAATAATAATAATAAAAATATAAACAAAAATCAATGAATATATAATGGTTTTTGTGCAATAAAGAAACATTTACACAATAATATCGTTAGGTTATTTCTTTGTATGATGAGCCAACAACAAATGACTTATGAGCTAAACAGCTTAAAGGTAAACCTAGGGCTACGACTACGAATAGGTAATTCAATTTCTTGCACTTTTTGTTGCTGACGGGTGCGCAGAAATAACAATGGGGGAGACATCTATTTATTAAAGCATACTTTCGGGCGGCTGGGACTTTCAGACCGGCGTCCCTGTGCTCGCTGTGGCGCCTAGGCTGAGCGAGCGCCGCGGCGCCGGCTTGGGTGGCAGCTGAGGCTTAACAGGTGCCGGCACGCCCACAACGCCAGCATTCGCCTGAACGCGCTCCTTCTCCTGGAACTCGACATAGCCGCTCTCATCGCTGCACTCGGAATCGTCATCCGAAACGCTGGCTGCATCCGCCGGCTGCTTAGGATCGGACACCTCAAGGCAGCTGACCGACTCCGCGGGCGACGAGGAGTTTAGCTTTAGGGTAATGCTGCTGGAGCTGCTGTAGTTGGTGGCGTCGCTGTTGTGGCGCAGCTGCTGGCGTCGCTTTGACTCCTCTAGTCTTTGGTAGATCAACATCTGCTCGAGCACCTGCTGCTGCACATTGCTGCCTTGAGACTTGTTGTACTCCTCCTGGTTGGCATTAGTCACCGTGCTGGCGGTCTCGCAGCCACTGGAAATGGAGCCCTCGTCGCTGTCCGGACTGGCCAGGCACTGCTGAGCACCAGCTGCGCCCGCCTGCGCTATGCCACTGGCAGTCGTCGAGCTGGAGGCATTGGACGAGATAGAGGACTGCGGCTGGTGGCGATACTGCAGGCTGGCTTGCTCGCTGTTTCGCTTGCGCATAGAGCTACGGTGCAGCATCGTGAGCATGGCCGCCTGCCGAAAGTAATGGTCGTCCGCATCGTCTAGGAAGTCCTCCTCCCCGTCACTGCAGACGCCGCTGCGGCGCAGATGGACAACGTCATCGCTGTCGAAGTCAGCCTGCGGATCGGCACTGGGATCGCTGTTGATGGTGGGCAGCAGGCTGAGCGGTTCCGCCTCGTCGCCTTCATCGAGTTCCGTTGGATCCACCGGAAGCTCGGCCAGACTGCCGAGGCTCTGGCTGCTGTTCTTGTGCAGCTGCATATCAAAGTAGGGTAACAGCTCGTTGCTCAGCGTCGGCTCGAACTTGAGCAGCTTTTCGAACTCGTCCGAGTCGGAGCCGTCGTTGTTAGAGGCAACAGCTGTGGCGGTTATGCTGTCGATGCTAGTTGCCGGCAGCTCAGGCTCCGGCATTGGTTCCAATTGATGTGAGCAGCAGGTGGCTGCCGCTTGAATCTTGCCCGTGCGGCGAATGGAATGACCGCGTCGACAGCGTCGCCTGCCCAGCGTCATGGCTGGATACAGTGAATCACGCTGGCAGCAGGGCATCATTTCGGGCTCGTTCGTGTCCTCGATCTCGTCGCCCTCCTCCTCGCCGATGGCCTCCTCAATGGCCATCAGCTTGGGCGCCGACTTGGAGCGCTCCAGCGGCGGCCTGTAATTGTTGCCGCCCACGCTGAGCATGATCTTGCGCCTGGGCAAGCTTGGGTTGTCGTACACGGCATTTGCCAGGCTGAGACGCGCATTTTGTTTCAGAATTTTCTCACGCTTAAATTCCCGCAATGCACTCTCTAGATTGTCCTGCAAAGGGATAACAACAGCATGGATGAGTAAATACAATAAGAGATTTAATTTGCTGTCCACTCACCCGCAGTGTTTCGCATATGTCCTGGGCAATCTTCTCCTTGCTGCAGAGGACCGCATGGCAGCGCAGTTCGTGCTTCAGCTTCCGGCCCTCGTGCCTGTAGATCCAGCAGAAGACGCGCGGATAGTTCTTGGGCGCACAGCAGTAGGTGATGCGATTCGACCAGTACTCGGTCAGGCCGTGCTGCCGTGTGGTGGCCTTCAGACCGGAGGCGCACACCTTCACCCGCATGATCACATCCGGCTTGGTGTGCTGTGTGTAGTTGCGCCACAGCGTATTTAGTTGCTTCTCGACGCAGCCCTCGCCTGCTGAAAAAACGAATGAGTATGAGTCAAATCGGACGCAGATCAAGGTTATTCTCAGGCACTTACCCTTGGCCCAGCCGGTCAGCACGTTGCCCAGATAGGACACCTTGTACTCCGGATCCGGTGTGCTGATGTCCACGCTGTGGGTGCGCTTCCACCAGAGCTTGCCGAGTCCTCGGGTCAATGTGCGCATAGCCTTGGCGCTCAGCTGATCCTCGGCGCGACCCACATGCTCCCGCCGACTGCCGTACTGCAAGTCCCGCGAATCTGTAGTCAGGGTGACCACATTGGTCACCTGCACCGTCTCGTCGCCGCCGGCAATGTCGCCATCCTCCTTGGACATGCGCTTGAAGCGTTCTAGATACGGCCGTTCCGGGCCACGACGACGACCGCTAAACGTATGAAACTTGCCGCTAGCCTCGTTGGCCAATCGCTTCTGCTCCTCCCGCTCGAACTTGCGCGCGTTGTACGTGTTGCCCAGCAGCCGGGCGATGCTGCTGCTCTTCACAAACTTGTGCTGCCTCGGCGGTGTTCCAATGGGCACTGCTGGCTTTGGCGGCAACAGCAGGCTGCTGCTGGCCGGTATGGGCGTGGCAGCGGAGGCGTTGGCGGGATTCGTAATTGTGCCCGAACTTGGCTTTTTGCTGCCAAAGCTGAAGAGTGTGCGGCGTTCCTTTGACTTTTTCAGGGTGTTGTTGTTGCTGTTGCTGTTGTTGTTGTGATTGTTGTTGGTGACATTTGGTTGATTGTTTGGTGTGACTGTTGCTGTTGCTGTTGTGCTTGATCCTTTGGCGCTGATTACCACGCCATTGGCGCTGCGGAAATCCTCGTAGTCGTTGTTGTTATTGTGCCTGGCGGCAATGAAGTCAACCTCATCGCGACTTTCCAGCGACTCCGCGGGAGTCGTCATCGCGTTGCTGCTGCTGTTGTTGCTGTTGGTTGCCATTATCTGAGCCGATGTTGCTGTGGTAGCTGCTGCTGCTCAATATCCGTTCGATTGTGACATGTTACAGAGCTGAAATTGAACGAGACAGCGGTTAGACACGATTTGTATTTAGCAAACAGGATTCAGAAAAGAGCAATAACTCTGGTTGTCAAACGACTTGCTCAACGCTAAGCAAAACGTTGTCAAGAATTGTTAGGCAACTAAATGGAGGTATAAGTAATCGATTTAATATCGCTAACTTCTTTAAAGAAAAAAAATATAAGAAAAACAATTTTTTTTACTCAAACTTTGTATTAATAAAATAAAAGAAAAAACATTATACACGGCGAAAGATATAACCAGACTGAAACTGAATTGATTAAATTATAATCTATATTAAAATTGGAACATTTTGTTTTTAAATGTTTTTTTTTTTTCTAAGCTGTCATTTAAAATTGTTCCCATATTTAATTACTTAATTAGTTAATTTAATTAAATAATTAATTTGATTTTCTGTTGGAGCACACTGAACTCATCAAATATTATACTTTTTCACATTGCCGCGTAACTTTTTTCCTTCCAAAAATATAAGTATATAGATAATAATATTGGTTCAAGCATTTTCTAATGATTTATTTCGGATAATAATATATTTTTCTATTATTTATTTTAACTTATTTATTTTAAGTTTAGTTCCTTTCAAACCAACTTTTCTAGGAAGTAACTTTTTTTGGCCACATATAGTTAGTAGAATATATTCAAAATAAAACTCGCAATTTTAATAACTTTTTAGCTCAGATATTTAATACCACGAGGAGGCAGCTCAGCTTGTGCACGGCGAAGTCGTTATGCCCTTTGACAAATGACCACTTTCGCTGATTAATTTGGCTCTGTTAACACATTCAAAACAAACTTTAATTAATTTAAAAGTGCGTTTTTCTTGCTCTTTTTGCAACTGCAAGTGAAGAGTGAAGAGTGTCAACTTTAATAAATCGAGTAATTAACACCTCAACCAGCTGTAAAATAATTGTGGATGTCATTTTTACTCCATTGTCTTGCATTTTTTTTGTTTTTGTGGGATGTAACAGATTGTTATGAGGCTACAATGTGCTAATATTTGCTGGGAGGTGTGTGTGTGTGTGTGTGAGTTTATTTTGGTGTGTTTTCTGTTTTCTGTTTTCGGTTTGTGTTTTGTTTCGTGTGTATTTTTTTTTCCACATTATTTGGATAATAATTGCAGTTTAAAAGCATTTAAAGGCGAAACTATCAAAGCCATTAGCTATGAGTATTAAATGCCTAATTATAGAGCTAATACAGATGACGTAGTTCCCAGCTGATGTTCATTACAATTTTTTTTTTTTATATATATTCGAGTTAATTGTCTGAGGCAAGGGTTGGCAAGCGTCTATTTGGTTTTATTTGAACGGCTTTAATATTGCAATCTAGATAATCGCCTTTTGAAATTTAATTTCTCGTGTGCTCATAAATGCCACAAATTTTGCATTTATTGCGTTTATATTTCGCCGCCAAAGCGACCAAGCGACCACATGTCTGCACGCTTGTAGATTAACTATGTGCGGGTCTATTAGCTGGCTCAGATAATATGCCAAAACAAGCAGTAAAGTTATTTATAGGCTTTGAGCTCATCATGTGACTACAATCAGTCCTTGCAGTATCAGCACTCGAGCCTGTTCATTGTTGGCGTGGTCATCTCCTAATCTCGACATGCCACGCAAATCTTAATTGCGTGTAGTACATTATCTAATCTTTAATTTTTAATTGTGCTGTAGCACTGATTTTTCAACATTTATAACATATACAATTTCCAGATATTTCAAGATGTCTCGCGAAAAAACCCTTTTTTTTTGCAGAGTCAATTTTAATCGGAAGTAGATTAAGCCAGAAGTGCAAATGGCAATAAGTAAATGCTAAGCTGTCAATTGGCAATCTGATTTATAAAATTCCTTTTGGGAGGCAGCACATGGCCAAAACTGTTTGAATACCACAAAACTAATCACTTGGCCTGCTTATTTATTTATGCACTCAGCTGCGACCTGACTAAAGCCATGTCTGATTTAATAGCAGGAAATGGCCAGCGGCTGAGGCAGACAAGACAATTGTCATGCAGCAAAGTTGTCTATGGCAATGCAACGACCTTGAAGTTGTGCAGGTGTTTCGGCTGGCAACGTCGATAAAGTTTTACGATATTTGCCCAAAGGTTGGCTGCTTTCACTTTTGCCACAAGCCTGACCAGTCTCTCTTGGGCGTCTCATGCCGGCAATTGTCAACTGTGCGGGCGGCCCACTCATTCATAGACATCTTCGAGAAAGCCCAGTAGTCGAGCCAACGAACCCGAACCCGAGCCCAAGCCCAGCCCTGAGGCCCCGCTGCCCCCGACTCGGGCCAATGACATGGATGCGCAGTTTTCACTCTACAGGAAAAAATTACAATATATTTTTGTAATCTGTGTATGTGTATATGTAAAATAAAAGAGACACCGAAGAAAAGCAAAGAAAGCGCGCTGAATTTGCCAGAAAATTTAAACAAAACTAAGTAATTGTTTTGCTTGAGACGCCCCTAGACCATTATCATTTATGTGGCTGGGCTGTTGCTTTTGTGTTACTTTGTTTCCTGGTGCTTCCTCCCAGTCCATAATTGCGCCACCTTTTATTTAATTATTTATTTATTTTGTGCGTGTGCGCGCATTTTGAAAGGCACCAGGTGACATTAACTTAAAGAAGCAAACAGAAGAGTAAAAAAAAAATAAAAGTAAATAAGCGATACTTTGTATTATTTACTCTATAAGAAATGCAAAAAGCGTAATCAGGAAGTGCTGCCGTTTAAACAGTTGGTGTGTGTCATTTTAATTTGGGGGGGGGGGGGGGGGGGGGGGCAGATAATAACAGGTGCGCTGCAGATACGTAGGGTCAGGCGCCCAAAAGAGGGGCTCACAATAAAATGAAGACAAGCTTTAAATAAGTAAAAGTGAGATTGTCGAGAGTGCTCGACTAGGAAATACCCTGAACACAGCGCAGTTGCCGCTACAAAGGTTCTTAGGTTCTTAACAAAGTTCAATTGTTTATTTCGTAAAAATAAGATATTGACAATCTCGAGAAGGATACGAAGAGCACTAGAATCTGTTAATATACACATATACGAGCATATCAAAGAGCATATCGATATGGCTTCCTATCGATTTCACAGAAACAAAGCTAGTTATCGATTGAGCTGCTCGTATTAAAGGATACTCTACTTTTTCGCCTTAGACACATTTGCACATAAACAATGATAGCCTTTCCATCCATTTTCAATTGAAAACCTGTACAAATATGTCTTAGTGTATATTCGAGTTGACCTTCAGCTGGAATACTTGGGCAAAATAGTCCAATTGGAATTCAACGTCAACCATTTGTAGGTATGCCAATAAATCATTTGCTCACCTCATCGTCTGTTAAACAATGAGCTTTGAGAACAGAACTTATAGAACGCGGCTGCCAGTTACAAATTGCAAAAAGGTTTCCAGCTATTTTAGCCACCTACTTTTTTGTTTTTGGAAAACTGGCAGCCACTAGCCAAAAAATGATTGATCATCATATCATATAATTTGTAAGCGTTTTGAATTTATTTACTTGACTTTGAGTCTAAACGTATCACAGCGCATCAGACAATGGGACAGCTACAGCAGTTCACAACAGCCAAACAAAAAAAAAAAAGTTGTATAAATTTTGTGTTTTTTCTTTGACTTTAAAAAGCGTCAAGTCATTTATCAAAATGTATTTTTAAACAATTTTAACAGCTAAATTTGCGTTCGCCGCTGGCTCTCAAGTGTTTCCCAGGCAGCTTAAAATGCAAAACCGCAATACAACAACAACAAGAACAACAAAAACAAAAAGAACAGCAGCTGGGCAACTTCTAGATACATATTTGTCCAAAGTCAAGCTGCAAAGGCAAACACTCTAGACACGGCGCTCTCAATAGGTAACAAGCCTCTGTGGATACAACAAAAATGCAATTTATTATTATACACCGAAAGATCTGCTCAGGTGCAGCGGAGCCGAGGCTCTGGCTCTGGCTCTGGCTCCGGCTCCGGCTCTGAGGCTGGGGTTGGGGCCCTGGCTCGGAAACTGTGTCAGCAGCAAATTGAAAAGTTGATTTACAATAAAGAAAAAACAAAATACATAATGTTTACTTGCTATAGGCCAAATTGAGTTTAGCCACGGCTCCGCGTGTGGCTTCAAGCCCAAGTGTACGAGTGTGTGTGTGTGTGTGTGTGTGTGTGTGTGTGTGTGTGTGCGAGATGTCAGGTTAAATAAATCGTAAACAGCGAATCGCTGACCGAGACACGTCGAGGCAGCTCAGACCCAAAGAATGTCTCAAAATAAATAACTTCAATGTAAATAAAAAGGAAAAAAAATTCGACTTGCAACTAAATTAAACAGTTTCGCAATTCGATTTTTGGTCATGTGTGTCACGCGGCGTTGTCGCCTACAAAAATGCGAGGCGAGGTGCCTGAAAAATACAAAAAAAAAAAACAAAAAACTCAAACACAAACACAAATCCCAATACGAAAGCGAGTAACAACTTAAGGCGACTTAAGACAAGCGAGTGCAAATAAATAAAATAAAAAATCAAAAAAAAAAAAAAAAAAGGAGAGGAAGTTTGCCCGTTTAAACGTGCGAACGCATCGGAATGCATTTAATTGAATGATTAAATAAACATTGCGGGGCATGTCAAATGAAATACTGGCACTCTATAGAGATTGAGCTGGATCTCAAAGCCGATAGCCATAGAGAACGAGTGGAATATGCTTGCACAATAACTGATCGCATTTAAATTCTAACCATCCATTAAATAACGACTATCTTTGGCATGCCGAAGATTAAATACTCTTACAGAGTGTAACGTACGAAACGAGTGGCGAAGTACAGAAGCGAATACAAACTAAGACAATCGACTTGCTAACAAGTTTAGAATAGATAACTTTAAGAGGAACAGAAGACTCCGAGCAGATAACTCTACAATGCAAGGCATAATGAGTTGAACAAAATTGAAGCGATTATGGGCACAAAGAAGTTTAATAGGCTTGTCAA